TGAAACGTTTTGGGGGTATTTTGATCAATTTATATTTGCAAATTTTTTTTTTTATTTTTTTATTAGATTATACTATTTTAAAATAATAGACATCCCAAATTTCAAGTGATTTGGAATTGTTGAAAAAAAAAACGAAAATTCAAACACGAAATGAGAGCGTGATCATCAGGTCGGCCTGGATTCATCTAGGCCGTGGCCAATGACGATAGTACTCAGCCCATGGATTGATAGGGTGAGCCCACTAGCTCACAGGAAAAAATGAGCCTGACGGCTCATATTGAATCTAGGCTGATCTGACGATCACGAATGCCTAGTAATGTTTGAATTTTAATTTTTTTCTACAAATCCAAATCTCTTGAAATTTGGACCATGCGTACATCAAAAATAGGCGAATCTTCGAAAAATATCAAAAAACTATTTTACATGAAATAAATTGAACAAAATACCACCAAAAATTTTCGGAGGTATTTTGGTCAATTTTTTTTCTTTTCGAATTATTATTTTTATATATATTTTTATTAGGTGAGGCATGATGAGAAGATCACACGTCTAAAATTTCAAGTGACTTGGATTTGAAGAAAAAAAAATTAAAATTAAAATACTACCCGACATCCGTGTTCGTCAAATCGGCCCAGATTCAATCTGGGCTATTGGGCTTATACTATTCCATAAGCTAATGAGCTCACCCAAGCTTTTCTCTTTCTCTCTCAAAAAAAATATATATATATATATATATATATATATATATGGTCGAAGAGTTAACAACCCTAAAAATAAAACTTTTCTATTTTATATCCAGGCCATTAAGAACTAAAAATAAAACTTTTCTATTTTTTATTGTTCATCTAGTGATGATGAAGACATCTACAAAAATTTTGGTAAAAAATCTCCCAAGGCCTCAATTTGTCATTTACACCTTCATGTAATAACAATCTATACTTGTTGCATTTTTTGTCTTCAAAGAAAATCTCCGAGGTTTTGTTTGCCTTTTTTTTTCCATATACTTGTACATTGGGATGAATACTAGTGACAATATTGGGTTCCAAACAAATTCCTCTAGATAGGTTTTCTTAAGAGTTTTTAAGACATGAGCTACTTCTCTAGAATTTGCAAACGAGTGCATGTAATAAGGCTATATGAAATGTTTTTTCACACACACAAGGAAAGTAAAATGCTCCTTGTTGATAGATTAGGTGTGATAACTTTTCTAAACAAATTTGACTTCAAGGACTTGAGCATTGTGTGTGAATGTAGGTAGATAAACGGCATTTCCAATAATTTTTATTGAGATTGAACGTAAATGCCCAAATTGTGAAGTTCCCAATTGCCATACATAACCAAGTCGTTACTCCTATTCCACTGGGTAGCTTAAAGAAAGAAAGATATTTCATGTCTCCTAACTTAGTACATAAGATGAAAAAATAAACAAATATAATGTTCTGATTTTTTATTTTTTTTTTGGAAAAATGAGATGAATCTTTAGAATTAAATATGACTATCAAATCTTTTACTCTTTTATTCTATTCGAGATGACAAATACAACAATGTAAATGTAAAGTACCCAATGACCGTAAAAATATCCCATAAATGAGTTGATATATGATCTCTCTATATGCATGCAATGTTTAAACTTTAAAGTGTTGAATATCATGCTTAGTGGAATTCTTTTAATGCTCTCCTGATCTCATTTTAAAAAAAGTTAAGGAAACAAATATTCAATTATGGGGAAAACCAGACATTTACATATACCAATAGATAGAAACTCTTCAATTGTGGTAAAACAACCCAGTGATGTACATAGTATTCCAATAAATAATAACTTTTCAACAATGGCACTCGGTTACATACAGCTTTTCCACTGTGGTAAAACCCACTCATTTACATTGCATAAATCGACAACAACTCTTCAATTGTGGTAAAACCCACTCATCCAAGAAGAATGTGCTAGTTCCCCATTGTGGAGGAGGCACCAAAATAAGCTACTAGAACATGGGCCAACTGTCTTCCGAGAGCTACTGGAACATGGGCCAACTCTCTTCCGTAATACCAAAATTAGCTACCTCTGAGGCCAAACCCTCGTTGCAAGGAAGGGAAAAGAGTCCAGATTGATCCATAGGCATGTAGCAGTCATCTAAAATTAGCTGATAGGGATGCCAAAACTTATCTTCTGCGTATTGTGTCAAAGCCTGTGATTCATATGTACTACTATAGGCATCAAAAAAAGAAGACCTTGAGGTTTTAGCAGTCCCATCACCTTGGTTTTCTTCTCCTGTTAATTGTTCCAAAGCTGGAAAATCAGTTTCAGCAATCCCATCACGTTGATTTTCTTCTTCTGTTAATTGCGTCAAAGCTGGTAAATCAGTTTCAACAATCCCATCACCTTGATTTTCTTCTTCTAACTGTGTCAAAACTGGTAAATCAAGGTCATCTGAATTATTAGAAGAGAGCTCAGTACCATAAGCACATAAGAGTGTATCCAGAGCATCAACTTGCATCTCCAAAGTACTAGATGAAAGCTCACGATAGCAATCTAATATGAGTTCCGCTATCTCAGCATCTTGTATCTCCCCTTTTGCGTCTACCTCATGAGTGTCACCCATTTTGTCTCTACCATCACTCTGAATCTCCTTCACCAATTCAGGGATGTCTTCCTTTACCAGTTGAGATATGTCATAAATTAAAGATTCTGTTGTGGTGTTGGCCAATTGTCTTTGTCTTTTAGCCCTTTGCGTGGGACTGTTTTGTTTCTTAGCGCTGCGTTTCCCAATAGAAGTCCTTGGTCTGGGGCAGTTTTGTTTGTTTTGTTTCTTAGCACGGCGTTTGCCAATGCGGCGACCTTTGTAAACTTTACAAAGGACCCATTCAATTAACTGCAATCCACAATCAAATCGCATATGTCATGTAATTTGAACATACAATGAGAAGACAATACATTGATGACCTATATAGCTATATTAAACTGATGTGTAAGCCAGAGAAAATGAAAGAAGCAAAAAAAGATGGAGGTTAACAGTTATTTGCAACGATAAAACTCTCAATTTTAGGCCAAAATCTTTGATTGGTGAGATCCCATGGGAGCCTATTAAGAGACTCTAAATAATGGGAAGGTTGTGGTAATGAAGAATTTTGATGTTTTAGATGACCTGAATTGAATACTGAGTTTTAACTTAGGTACTTTTTTCAGACTCTAGCCATGTGACTCTTTAAGTTAATAGTGGCCTTATGACTTGTCAGCAGATGGTGGGAGTATACTTCATGATGCTAGTTGTTTGTTAATCTTCTCCTCAATTTTAAGCATTTGTAACTCTTTATATGCAGTTTTTATGTACCCAATGTTTCTATGGTCTCAAGACTGAGGCATGACTGTGTGGTCGAGTTGTTGGCCACTGTTTTGAGGAAACCTCCATGTATTGGTTTCTCCATATGATATCTTGCATTGCATTTCGAATATCCATTTCACATTCTTGTTTGTCAGTAGTTACTCAATTGTTATAAATATACATTCAGTTATACCTGAAAAGACTTCTAATTTTCTTGCATGTGACAAAGAAAGGTAATTAAAGGAGCCTAGCCTGGTCTAGTGCTTGATTGGATACAACGAATGAAAATTATTGTTGATCCTATAAGGGGTCTCAAATACTTGCATGATAAGGTACAACCATCTAGCAATTACAGAGATGTCAAATCGCACACTGTAATTCTATTTTAACACTTTGTAGCCAAAATTGCAGATTTGAACCTTTCAAACCGTGCTCCAAATATGGCTGGCTAGGTTTCATTTCACTAGAGTCTTGGGAACGCTTTAATATCATATCCTAGAGTTATTTTATCAAGGAACTTATGTTTGATTTTATTTCATACCTAACATAATTTTTGTTCTACTAGATATGACATCATTTCTGATAATTGTACCAGATATTATAACTTGTTTTTAGCTTCATACTTCAATTAGTTGTAGGTAGAGTCCTTTTATCTGGTTGCCAGTTTAGAGTTTTAGTCCAGATATTGAAATTTACATCATTGAATCTGCAGTGTAGATCGAAAAATTTTCTGTACAGGATCATGCAAATGCATTTTCTTACTAGTGAGTCATAATGGATTGCAAGGCTCTCATATTGTTTTCATGAAAGGACCTTCTTTAAATTGCTTTGATGCGATATAAGCATATAGCTTCATGTTGTTTCCATTTGTTGTTTCTTCTTCTTACCTCTTATGTTGTACCATTGGGGGCTTTATGAGTTCATTTGCTAAGGATATTATAACATACATTGTTTCAATACTTAAGTGTTGCTAATGTCTGTTGATACTTTTCATAAATGATTTTGTAGCTTTTACAATTTAGTAGTAAGTTTATCATCCATAATATGCATTGTTTTGTTTTATGCTTTTTGTCCTTACCTTCTCCACCACAACCAAGTTTTGATGTACTTTATATGTGACAATTACACTATGGGCGTTCCTAATTTGTAAGGCTATCCAATTTCCAATGTGATCCTAAGAAATGAGGCACACTAATTCACTCCAAGTATGAATCAAGTAGGGTTAACTTTCAACACTAGAGAGGAAATCCTTTGGATGGTACCATCTTGTAATTTCATGAAATGAGCTAATTTAATTGGGTTGGAACTGCATCAAGGTTATAAACTTGCATGGGTTGGTTCATAAAATCGAATTGTTTGATCTTTTGCATATAGCCTCATCAACTCTCCATTCGCAATTGTAAAATAAGCCAATATTTGTTGTTTTCGTTTCAAAACCATATACTAAGTGTCATATGACATTGCTAAAATTCCATGACTGGTCAGCTGACACAAAAGAGCTACATTTATACCTTTGGTGTTACTCTTATGCAACTTCTTGCAGGTAAGAAACCATGGTGGTCGTTCTTTTGGAGCTACTTATAGACCAAAAACCAGTGGACCACACAATGGTAATGAGACAAACAACATAAACTTACGAGGATATGGCATAGCGAATCAAAGGAGAGAAGACTTAGAAGGGGAAAATGAATGGTTGGTATGAACAAGAGACAAGTAATACACATATATGTAAATGTTTAGCAGAAAAAAAGTGATTGCAAGAAAGTTGTGATTTTTTTCTAAAATAGAGATCATAGAAATTGGTAAAAATGTTGTGATTCTCACCTCCTCACCATCTTTCACCAATTTGAGAGTCTCATCGGCCACGGGCACATGATACTCTTTTAAAAGCCAAGGGGTCTTCTCTTTATTCGATTTCATACGAAATACCAAATTGTCCTTTCGGGCTATCATAATGCCGTTGTGGATCACTTCATTACTGTTGGTGAGCAACCAATGCCCATTAGGTGTAATTCTGTTTGCCTTGGTTCCTGTCTTAAACTTTTTCTTTCTTTGCATGAAAGAATACCACATGTCTTTGCCGAAGAATGCATCTACTGCAAGCAGGCCATTTCTTTTAGCTAAAAGCAAAGAAATATAATACAAAGAAAACATACTAACTGAGCTCTATCAAATTATCAATATAAGAGCAAGTAATACAAACCGTATTGAAAAAGAAAGAAAAAAATCGAAAGACAGAAAGAAAGATCAACAAATGGCTCTGAACTTAAAACATATTTAAAGAATTGTAGGGGTTACAAATTGAATAATGAAAATGAGGGAAAGTTTAGCATGACATGTTGCTATATGTAATACAATCGTCGATTGCCACTAAGGAAATGTTTTGATGAACGACCCTACTCCTTAATAAATTTGACAATGTGAATTGATTTATCTCAACCATCCCAGTCGATAAAGGACGGTTGTAGGTATATGTAGCATATTGTATATATTATACTGTATCATAAGATTCAATCCCACCAAATTATCCGGATACAATCATGCAAGCATAGATATATAAATAAACGTGGTGCGTTTAGTTCTGATTTTAAGTCACACTATTGACATTCTATTGTATCACAATCGACAACACCAACATATTATGTAGATAAAAGCTTAAATATATGAATAGGCATTATTATTTTAGTTCTGATTTTAAGTCTGACATAACTTATCCCAAGAAAGATGACAAAATGAGTAACATGTTTAAATGGTTTAACAATACTCTGATTTGATTGTACCCAAGTAACATAGTAGAGCCAAACTCAAGTGTTCGTTTGATGTGCTTTAATATTTCATAAGCTGATTGGATGGGTTATAAGTTCTACTACCGTATGATTATTTATATTTGAACTTACCAGGAAGATCCCAAGGGTCAAAATTATATATGTCAAGATCACCAATCATCTCCCCAGGTATTGGCAGATAATTGACTTTTCTCAACAAATAAAGGACACAAAGGTCTTCGTCATTTGGACAAAACCTTAAACAAGGGGGGAGCTGAACATTTCGTGGATTGCTTATCATTTGTTCCTATTCCGTTCCACTCCAATAGTTCTCCAAGTTGATGACTCTTAAGGGGGCACTTTCTTTAGAGAATTCAGAGCCTGAAACCACATAAAAAGATTCAAGAAATTAGTCATTTTAGTCCCTATGAAAGATAACTAATTCTGTAGAATGCTTGAATGACTCTCTCTCTCTCTCT